GCTACAAAGCATTTTACACACATTTGATTCTCACAAGCATCCTGTAAGGGAAGTATTATGAGTAATAGTAGAGCTAGAAAGATCAGGTGCCTTGCCTCACAAAACTGTTACATGGCAGAACTAGATATTGCCTAGAATGCAGGTCTCCTTACTGACTCTCCATTCAGTACTTACCCAAACACATATGGTTGAAACAAATCTGGGACTAGTATGGATCAAAAAGCATTAAATGATAAGAGTTCTAGAAGTGCTGATGCTCTATCCTTGATATCAACTTAAGAGATGCTGAAGAAGAAAAATAAAAATGATTAAAGAATTAGCAAACAGTTCCTCAAAAGGAAAGCTAAAATATTGAGGCTTGTTAAAGAGAAAGCTGAGCTATTTAATCATACTTTCTAGGTTCACAAAAAATTATACCTTAACAATTAGACATCATCTTCCTCAATGGGGCCTTTAAAACCAGTAAAACAAACTCCAAAAGAAATGGTGGCTTTGCATGGCTGGAGACCTTTAAGATACAGGGTGTGACTATAAAGTAATGAGACTGGTGTTTGTGTGCAGGATCAGTCTCATTACTTTATAGTCATGCCTTGTATGTGCTCATCCTTCACACTGATGCAGCTGTGTTCTAACTGGAGGTGGGGATATGGAGTAAATGACAGAGAGACACTCAACGTTCATTCAGTAACTGTTCTTTTGAGGTAATTTATAATTCTAAGATTTAAGTATTCATCTGCTGTTTTCATAGAATACCATTAGTTTCTTCAGGTTTAAGGCCCTTTTTAGCACTTGTTGCCTATGTCTACAATAAATGCCACATAATCTTCCTCATTTATTTTCAGCCTATATCTGAAATTTATTTTGTTCTTTTGATACTTAGTTCAACTTCAGCAGTCTGGGTCAGATTTGGTATTTAGGAAAGGAACTATTTTTTAAAGTCCTAATGTGCTTTGTAAAAAACCTTGAGAAAAATTTTCTATTTGTCCAAAAGTTGCTTCACTTCTGCCCAGGGACATACATAACTTAGATGTTATCCCAAGTCATGCAGTGTACTTTCTTTTGTTAAATACTTTGATATGCAAGTAGACAATTAGCAAATTTGTTAAGAAGGGACTTTGGGTACTATTGTGGACTATGATCATTTGTTGGAATAAGAGTTTTTATGTGTTTTTATGTGTAAAAAGAAGGATCAAGATTTATAGAAAATATAAAGATGTATAATTCATACTTAACTGAGAAATTCAAATATAATCAGAAGTATTATAAACTAAGAATATCACAATTTAAACAAGTTGCAATGATTGACAAGTGTAAATATGATCCTGAGTAATGTGCATGCTAATAGGGTTTTTTGTGTCTGAGCACTAGTCCATGTGGTCTTCAGTCTGACACAAATACCACACTAGAGCTGGAGAACTTTAAGGAAGGAACTGCCTTCCCACACACATAAGGAGATATGTGTATGTTCTGCAGAAACCAGGCCTTCTCATTCATGTTTTAATTTCTGTCAGCAGTAATGAATCAGTGACTTTGAGAGAGAGTGTGGTACAGTGAAGAGAGTGCTGGATGTTGAGTCAAGAAGGCATAGGTTTGAATCCTACCTTGGTGTGCCCAAGGCCACACTTCAAAGCTGTATACTCTTTGGGATAACCTCTCTAGGCCTCAGGTTCTTATTTTTAAAATGAAGAGGTTGGACTCAGTGAACTTCAGGTCTTTTCAGCTCTAAATCTATAATCCTCTGATTTTATAACCTTCAAACTTGACTGAATTAAATCATCTAATTGTGTGTTTATGTTCTGAGATTAAAGATCTCTTCCTGTTCAGATTTGGGTAACTTCTTTGTTTATTTCCTCCACTGAGACATTAATGCCACATTGACTCAAACTCCTAAAACTCATGGCCACTGTCTTTGACTGAATCTGATAAAAAATCAACAGTTTCTCAGTTTTATTTTTTTTCCTAAGACATAACTTTTTGGTGCCTCCAACAATTTCATTTGAGAAGACAATGTATGGACACAGGCTGGGAGCAGTTTTTCATGGTTCTTTGGTTTTTAAAGATTGTCATCCTTTGCATTAAGGAGAGCCCTCTTAGTCCTGTTACCCACATACCTCTTACTATAAATGTGACTGATGGTCACGGTAAAGCCCACATTTCATACAGTATTGAGTGCATAGTCTAGTGTAGGTAGACTATACACTGTACTCCGTCTTTACAGAACCCACTGCTGTGGCAGCTCTTTGCCTTTTAGCCTACATCATCACATTGCTACCGAAATTCATAAGAGAAGTTACAGATTGTTAGTGATAAAGCTGTGGGTGAAATCCATGTCTCCTGACCACCATCCTGGGATTCGTTTTACTATAAACAAACACATCTTTCTTACAATATGATCAGAGTATTAAATGTGCCACATTCCTTAAATTTTTGTTGTAGTACTTCCTCATTCTTTTGCTTTACCTACACTTTCTTCAGCAGTTTGTTTTCAAAGCAGTTGCCAAGGAGTCTCTTTGCTCATCTTGTTCATGACTTTTATGTAGGTGGATTTTTGGTGCTCACGTCATACCATTGTTACAGCAAATTTGGCTTTGTCTACAGGAGAGCAAACATCTGGATGAAAAACTAAAAAACTTAGCCAGTCATTCATTGCTTTATGATATCTAGATGTTTAGCATACTATAGCTAAGACATTTAGATGACTGTTTTGTGTTTTTTCACCCTTTCATCTGGATGGTAACACATTTCAGTTACCTTAAGCAGAATAGTTTCCTTTTAACAGCTGTGTGAAATAAGTATAACTATTTATATCCTCATTTTGTAGATGAGGAAATTGAGGCTCAGGGAAGTTTTAAAATTGACCTGTATTCATACAGCTAATAAGTGTCAGAAGCAGGGTCCACACCTGGGCCTTCTGGCCACTGCCAAAGCTAGTGTTCTTTGCACTACGCTTACCAACTCTCTGGAGGATGTGGCATCCCTTACACACAGTGTTTGACTTGTTATACAATACTGAATGTGACTATTAATTTTAAAAATGAATCTTTAAATAACATGGAATGAGTGTATATGGTCTAAATTCCATGTCCAAATAATAAGAGGTTTCTCAAATGCTTTAGTTTTGTTTCCAGATGACTTAAAGACTTTATAAAACTGATAAACAACATAAGACAAGTAGGCTTTTAAAAAATTACAGAATTTTTAGTGGTAGTGCGTTTTTCATTTTAGTTACTATCGTTGCCTGACTAATAGATTTTTCTAAGTACTATTGATTGGCATATATAATAATATCATGAATTACCCAGGCAATTGTATAATAATAACTGAGAACACAGATTTGGCTTTATGAGTAAGCACTTAATAGATTATATACGTATGTGCATAAACATATACACAATATACATATGTGCATGTAATGGCACTAGTATAGACTGAGATAATGTAAAACATATGTGTATAAAAATAAAACATTGCAAGTATACAAAAGAATTACAGTGCCTGGTCCCTGTCCTGGAAGAAATTGAAATCTTGGTGTCTGTTCTATGAGGCACCTAGGTGACACAGTAGATAGAGTGCTGGGCATGGAGTCAGGAAGACCTGAGTTCAGATCCAGCCTCCTATATTTACTAGCTATGTAACCTTGGGTAAATCATTTAACATCTGCCTCAGGTTTCTCATCTGTCAAATGGAGATAACAATAGCACCTGTCTTCCTGCCCCAAGTTGTTGTGAAAATCAAGTGGGCTATTTGTAAAGTGCTTTGCAAACCTTAAAGTACTCTATAAATGATAGCTATTGTTGTTATATTATTATTATAACATTTCTAGGAAATTTTCTCTCACTAAAGTGAGAAACAGCTCATTCTATCAGTTTACATGAACTTCAGATTGTCAGTTTCTCTCCAAATTTTTTAATCCAGGTATACTTACGTAACAACTTTTTGTTGTTCCTTGACACCCATTTTATGTCTCATTTCTGCTTGTATTTTCCCCTGCTATCTTGTTGTAACATTTCCACTGTTTTGTTAGGGATGTTTTAAGGAAGTTAAGAAATTTAAAAGCAGAGGTTGTTCAGGAAATTCAGAGGAATATTTTTGTTTCCAAATGTTGTTGTCTTTGATATGCATCACTTAAAAGTATAGGTGCTAAAATCTGATAATTAACTTTTTCTTTTTTTAGAGCAGAATCTTTGATTAATTTTTATACAATCGGAGAATGTTCTAAATTCACAAAATAGATTCAACTTCCTTAAAATTATAGATTAGCACTAGATCTGCTAAGGTACCACATTTTTTAAAAGGAAAGATTATTGTACAATTAGTAACTCTATTTTCACATTTCTTTTTCTCCCACTAAGGAGTACAATAAAAGGTAAATGTTGGAAGTTAAATATTCTGAAAAACTTTCAAGGTCCTGGCTATAGTTGCATAATTTTACACCTTTGTCTTAAAATTTTTTATCAATTAGCAAAATTCTCTTCCCTAAGGGAAAAGTGAAAGTGTGAAATTTGAAGTAGAAAAATTCTTTCAACTAATTCACTGTATAGGTGAGGAAACAAAGGATTGTAGAGGGTGAATGACTTGCCCAAGGTCATATAGCTAATTACCAGTAGAGGAGGACTAGATAGAACCTTGTTCTCCTGGCCCCCAGGATGGTTTCAGCTAAGAAGTTTTTAGTAACTGATTCTTGGACAATGTTTTACAGTTTTACAGTATATGTTAGGCATAATTCACGAGTACTGACTAAATTTAACCTTTAATGAAAAGAAGTCCTTTGCTAGAAATTTTTATCCATTTATTGCCATTTAACAATAAGTTTAAAGCTTGGTTTAGAAGATTAAATTTCTGACTTAAGATCAATCCATAATTATCCATTTAGTAAAATGAAATTTTATGCGATATTCTAATTTTTATGCTGTTTTTATACGAACAAACTTTATTTTAAGTATCTTACATTGCTGTGATCTGGATTGACATATTTTTATTTTTTTGATTTCCAACTCTAGGAATCTCTACCACCTGTCCAGTTTGACTGGAGTAGCAGTGGCCTTACTAACCCTTTAGATGGTACGTCTCTCCGTAGAGCCTCTGGCACAAGAGCTAGAGTTAAGAAAGCTACAAAGTTCAGACAGACTTCTCTCTGCTGATTTTTTTAAAGACATACTTTTTTATTCTTGTCTTTGGAAATTCAGGCTTTCCTTCTGATTGGTAGTTCCCCCAGAAAAGCAGCCATCAATATTCATGATATAATAGCACAAGGTACTTAGTGAGAACTAGATAAAATTTTATTTTAATTGCTGTAAGTAGAACCTAAACAGCCAAGGTAATTCTGGTCATTCTCTAAGTAGCTAAGTAGTATTTTAGCTTGAAATATTTAACTTGCGAAAAATATTTTCCTGATGATCTTCATTTTATGGGTGTTTTTTGTATACAAAATACAGTGAATAAAGGTATTTCAAAGCACAATTGTTTAACCAAAAGCAGTTTGCAAGTGATATGTATTTTTTGACTCAAAAGTTTTCAGATATATTTTATAGAACACCAGTATTAAAATGGAAAATGTGATTTGATGATTATTTTCTAAATTCAGTTCATTTCGATGTCAAAATTTAATGTTAATGGGTAATGGATACCAGCAATTCAAATTTTGCCCATATAACTGGTATCACTTATGGTTTTAAAAAATGCTGGCAAGGGAAACAAGTTATATAATTTAGAGGGTTGAAAGATAAAAAACAAAGAAAGTTAAAGGAGGTTTTCTTTTTCTTAGCAAAACTTAGGTTACAATAAAAATAATAACTCTTCATTATAGTTGTTTAAACATTGGCCAAAACTTTTTTTTTAATCACTCTTTCATGGTCCCTTATGATAGGATAGTAGTGGTGCAAGGATACCTAGACTATAGCAGATTGGATACCTTAGTGATGAAGGAAAGCCTGGATGGACCTTTTTGCTGTTGTCTAGTGTCTGACTACTTCAGTCAAATCATCATGCTTTCTTTTAACAAACAACTTCTTTAAAAATGTATCTCCTTTCTGATTACTGTTTCAGAGTTAAAGGGGAACAGTACAACTTGAAGTTGCACATAACAGGGTAGGGCAATTGTGGCATCCAGGAATACATAGAATATTTTAAACTAAGTCACTGTATTGCTCTGTAGCCTGAAACTGGCAAATTTTTCAGATTTTTAAGTCACTAATTATGAATCAGCATTACTAACTTGGAAGATTGGTTTGGGCATGTACAATGATGAATTTGTAATGGACTGAAATTACAGTATTGTTTCCCTTTAACAGGCAGACTTACCTGGATCTTTCTGATATGGCTCCATTTTTTTATTGAAATAAATCTTTTCTTTCTAACTACAAAGTTACTAGTGTTTAATTACTTGCATTGTACATGAGAAAATGTACATTGAGTTAAGTTGTTACTGTCTTTAGATATAACAAACTAATTCTGTAAGCATTGTTTTCATGTTTTTTAAATTGTATAATGAGTACTAATTATAACTTGCATGTTCAAGTGTGTGTCTTACCCCTTTTTACACATAACCCCTCCTCCCTTGGCTTACCTTCTGTATGGCTGCCTACCACCACGGTCACTGAATTCCAAGCTAGTGGAGGTTCCACTCTCCTGAACCTTGATTTCTTTGGGCCCGTGGATGACAGTAGCTCTAGCAGCAGCACCACCATCCCAGGTCAGCAGAGTGTTAAAACCACAACTATGATCTAACTTGTTACTAATAGCATGATCATGGCACTTGACTTTCCTATAAGCAAGGAAAATGATTTTATCATATTCTTCTATGATGTCTTTCTAATACTTTTTTTTCTTTCCATCTGTCTTCTACTAGTTATTTTGCAGTACCAAGCTACAAGTAACTTAATTTGAAGTATTTTTAAGGGAAAAGTGGTAATGTTATAAGGCTGAAGGTAGCTTTTAGGAATGAAGATTTTAATCATCTTAGTGACTCAGTATGTTAAAGATTTCCCCCATTCCACTTATGAAAAAATGTGATACTTTGTGTGTGGATTTTTAAAGCCCATTCCATAAAGCCGTTTTAAAAAGAATCTTAAGTACAATCGCATATGCATCTTTTACATTGTAGTGCCTGCGATTACAGTGTTATTGCAAATTCTGGCATTCAGATAATTACGTGTACTTTGGTGCTGCTAATGTAGAGTTAGGTTCCAAAATATTGGAGCCTGTTGTTTAGTCGTGTAATTGACACAGGGATCTCTATTATAGTTTTTATGTAGTTATTTCTTAAATAGCAGGTATGCTGTTACCTCCGAGGAAAAGTGTTACCACAAAATAGTAGAAAGACAGTTGCCTACGGGACCTGAAAAGCTAGAAACCAAGAAAATATATTGGAAAATGCCTATGAAAGGAATGTTCAGCCCTGCTGAAGTTCAGTCCATTGACCAAGGGACTAATGTATTTTGTCATTTTCTAACTAAATAAAAGATGAACATTGTAATGATGTTTTTATGGTTACATTTTCTTTAAGATAATTTTCACTGAGTTGGTGTTACCTCAGCTTGTGATCTGGTTGTCCTACCAACTGGTCACAGGGCAGCATTGGTGACCCAAACCTATGGGTAGAGGGTTACCCTTGACCCCTTTTGATACCCCTCTCCTAGTCACCCTAGCCGTTAGACATATTTTAGTTTTGTCCTGCTCCGTTAAGAAAGGCTTAAGAACTGAAACCACCTCCATCCTCAATCAAGGGGAAGATCTAGGAAATAGGAAGGACCTGAGAAGGGTGGCTGAGGTGTGACCCCATGTTTTTTTCCTGGTCTCCAAGATTTGCTCATTCATTAGTGGAACCTTATTGCTTACTGCCAATTGGTACAGTGACCATACTCTAGAATCCAAGTGATTCATTACTGTTTTCATTTGCTTTTAAGATTTTCCAGGCTTGTGAAAACCAACACAGTCTTTGTTTCAAAACGATTTGTCTTTCATTTGAATTACTTCTAAATGCATTGCTTCAATGGACTTGGCAGTGTGAGTAAGTTAGCCATTGGAGGACACCCGATGAACCGACAAGCATGCATTTAATTTCATTGATTACCAGGGAAAGCTGCAGCAACTTAGGCAGCTTCCTTGGGATGCAGTGAGCTCCCTTAGCTTCATTTTCTCACAATTTCATATTATAACTTAAATGAGCTCATTATTTTTTTCTTTTGAATTCGTAACAATCTTTTTAAAATTTAATTATAATCCATACTCTCATTTGGAAGTCATCCAGTCATCTATAGGAACACAAATAACAGGAATTGATAAAGAGATGCAGAAGTGACCTGATAAGCCAGCTTAATGTCCAGTGCTGACAGCCAAAAGAATGTCCTGGAGGACAGGCTTACAGTCTCGTAGCTGTAATAAGGGAAGTGTATTTTAGCACAGTTAACAGAGCACACGTTACTTTTTACCTGTTTTTATACTTCTTTCAATATTCTCATAAATATGCTAGCTGCGATATGAATTTAACTTCTCTAAATCCTATTTTGGCTTATTTTACTGCTGTTTGGGTTTTTGTTCAAAACTTGTCATCAAGCAACAGTTATAAACACCTTCCTTGGTAGGTCATTTCACCACTTGCTTGCATTTTTTTCTGACTTGTTTCTGGGAAAGTCATTGTCTTAGCTTGTAATTATTATTTTGTGTGTAAGACTTCTTTAGGAGGTTGGCATAGAATTTGGTGTGCTAACTTGAGTTATATACAGACCTCATTAAGGTTCTTTCAAAAGTTCTACAAATTATTCTCTACTTATATCTATATTGTAGTTCTACTGTGTTTTGAGAAATAACCGTACTGTTTTTTAAAAATCTCCCATTTTACTAACTATTTGACAGTAAAGCAGCCAATGTTACTTTTATTAAACCTGTCAAAACCAGCCAAGCTTTCTCTCACACCTTTGTGTTGCCAGTCAGGATATAGTTTTCCGTACAACAGCAGCATGTTGCATTGAACATTAACTTAGATTCCAAAGTAACCTCAAAATTTAACCTTTAGAAAGGAAAGTTTTCTGTTTCTAACTTGTCTCTTAAATCCATAATTTTAACATTCTGTGATCCTAAATAAATACAGAATTCTATAAGAATAGATCTACAGTGTATTTTGAAATAATATGCCATATACCTTAATGGGATCCCAAGAACTTATGAGAGTTCTTGCATTTTCTATAGCCTTCCTCCCTTATTGGAAGTGGAAACTGTGGGGCTTGCTGCTGTTGCTTGTTTGGGTTCTGTGAACATCTGAGATCTATTTTTGAAAGTCTGCTGAGCTATATTAACAAGTAGCCTTAATACAGTGTAATTCCTGGTTTTCTATTATCTTGTTCAGTAAAAAGGGACTTGCTTATAATTTGAGAATGCAAAATGCACGTCACATTAACACAGTGGTTTATGAACGAGTAAGAAGGACAGACATTTTCAGATTATCCCAAGAAAAAAATTATCCTTTAATTATTATCATTTAATCATAGTTTCAAAAAGTATTGCCACCACTTACAACCAGGACAAAAGGTTAAATGCACTATCAACAGTCACTGAAGCAGAGAGTATTTCTGTGGAGGTTATTTCCTCTCTGCCTGCTGTTAACTAAAGGGCAGTTCTAAATACTACCATCATTAGCTAATCATTGTTTTTGTAAATAGCCTCTTTTTAGGGATCATTATTTACTGACAGACCATAATATTCAGTGTCTCTTTTAATCAGATTTGTCAGTAAACATTTATTAAGCACCTTCTGTGTTCCAAGGCACTATGCTAAGCACACAAAAATATCTGCTTTGCCATCAATGAGCTCACACTCTAATGTAAACAACTAAAATTGTTTCCCTGCACATAAGATCAACTTACTTAGATCTAAATAAACCTTATAGTTCCTAAATCCAGTGCTGTAAGTTGAGGTTTGATTTCTGTCCATTCTTCCCCACTTCCCAAAGAAAAGATTTAAGAGAATATTAGCTTTATATTATGAATCATATAGAGGATATTAAAAATTTGGGGACATCTCTTTTGTGATTCCAAATAAATCAGAATTGGCATTTTTTTTAGACCTACCAATCAGTATTTTTAAAACTATTTTAATAAAATCTTTTATACCCAAATCTGCACAAAAGTATAATTTCTAGCATTAAAAATAGAGGTTGTAGGGGCAGCTAGGTGGCACAGTGGATAGAGCTCTGGCTTTGAAGTCAGGAGGACCTGAGTTCAAATCCAACCTCAGATACTTGATAATTACTAGCTGTGTGACCCTGGGCAAGTCACTTAACCCCGATTGCCTCACACCCCTCCCCCCAAAAAAGAATAAAGGTTATAATGAGAAATGTAATAGTATATTATTCTGAAAATAATTTGTGGTGATTGTAAATTACTCAGATGTTTCCAGAATTAATCCTTTTGCATCTTGGATTGTGGCTGATTGACACACTTGCAACCTGCCATCACTGACTATCATTTTATACTGTAAGGTGTGGATCCAGAGTTGTATGAGTTGACAACTTCAAAACTGGAAACCGCCAACTCAAGCATAAAAGTGACTGATGCATTTGCAAGACTCATGTCCACAGTAGAGAAGACGAGCACATCAACCAGGTAAATTGCAATAATAACCAGCTAAACCTCCTGAAGATAGGATTGTTTATTGCAAGTCATAAGTATTAACCACTTATTTAGATTCCATGTTAAAGAAAAGCAACGTAAAATGAAAAGGTGTGTGAAGTGTCCATTGTTTTTTAAAAAAAAATCTGTTTACTATTTTAAGATACAGCTTGTGGGGAGGTTATCGAGTAGGTGACAATATACTAAATTCTGTGGGTTAGGAATATTGAATTAATCTCTTTTATAAGGGAATGAAAGAGATTATAATCAGGTTACTTGACTAATATTTATGGGCTTCTTTTAAACTTTTCAGTACTGACTTCTCCAGATTTGGAGAATCTCCCACCTCCCTATACCCACCAACTAAATAACTGTGTGTTAAACTAGACATAGAAATGCCATTTTCCATACCTATTTGCCTGCCCCCAAATTCACCTGAACTTGGCCCTTGGTATCCCTTTTACCTGACTAAAATAAGTAAAATAACAACCAGCTTTCCTAGCTGCTTCCAGAATATGCTATTTTGAAACCCAGTTGTTTTGGGAAGGGGAAATTTTTTCTCTTGACTTCATGGAAACTCTGAGAAAAAAACAGGGCACTAGAGGAGTATGTACTAAAGTCATTTTAAAGCACTTTGTTGGTCCCTTAAGCCATACATTTAGGTTTCTATGGCAACTCAAAAACTTCTTCAACAGGGCAACAATCATTTTATGTTAGTACTTAAACCAATATCAAACGAGTTATCTGACTGTCAGTGAAAGAAAGTACTACTGCAGGAATAATCATGTTTAATTCTTATACTGACAGTGCTACAATGCTGTTCTTGAATGAACACATTCTGCCTATATATGAAATCCCAAGTTTACCATTTACACCAAACTTTTTTCATTTGATTTTTAAGTTGTCAGAAAATAGTCATCAAAATTTTTCTTTTATACATATTTATCTCAGAATTTTGGCATGAAATATCACATTGCCACAATCAGAACTCCACTCAATGGATATATAATCATTTTAAGATTCTAGGTATGCAGTTAATATCTGCAGAGGACACCCTTTCAACTCTGCCCAAATTCAATTTTTAATCTACATATTGTTTTCCCTCGGATTCTCTCCTATTAAACTGGTAACCATTCTTATCAGACTTATGCTCTTTAGCAGAATGTTTAAAGGGAGTATGTAGAATCAATAAAACTGTATTAAATGAAACTGTAAATGGAGCTGAATTTTTTTTAGGCTTTTACAATATCTTCTAATTGTTCATTTTTCCTAAGTAATTCCTTCCTTATTAGAATTTTAGTTTGATATTCTTTTCCTAATTATTTTGTCCTGTTAATGATAACAATTTGGGAAGTTTTGAAATTGCCAGCAATGAAAGTTTATTCTTTGAACCATTAGGAGGAGCTCTAAACCTCATGATTGACTTGCCTTATTTTAGCTCTTCAAAATAGTTGCTGAACAGCACTGTATACTAGAAAACTTTCCAAACCTTATCACTTTAAGAACTTCCTTTCATATTTTCCCATTCTACAGGATATTTTGGAATTGAATTGGCAAAAAGTTTTAGGGTTTTCCTAGTCATTGATTTCTTTAGTATATATTGAATGTCTTACTTAAACAAACAAAAAACCCAAAACCTTGATAGCCCAGGATTTCTGTATTTGAGGAATTAAATTATTGGTTGCAAACCATATAAGTAAATGAAAGTTAGAAATTTAAATGACCAAATGTAGTTACCCCAAGCCACCATGACCAGGTCACAAAGGGAACCCAGGCAAGAAAATATAGATGGTTTAGGATAAATTCAAGCCCACTATAGAAACACAGTACAGAATGACAGCTCCCTCGTTTTCCAGAGGTAGATTAAATGAGCAATGATAACTGACATTTTTATAGCATTTTAAGTTTTGCGAAACACTCTAATAAATTAATTTCTTCTCATTTGACCCTTAGAACAACCCTATGAGAGACGTACTATAATAATACTACAGGTATTATTATCCCTGTTTTACAGGTTAGGAAACAGAATTATAACCTCAAGATTTAGAGTTGAAATTGACTTTAGAGTCCATCAGATTCATCCCCTTCGTTTTATAGGTGAGGAAACTGAGGGAAAGGGGTTACAAGACTTGCCCAAGGTCACATAGCTCAAAAGTGCCTAAGGTGAGATTTAATTCTTTGTCTTCCTGATTTCAAGTCTAGCACTGTAAGCACTGTCTCTCATGTAAGAAAGACAGTCTAGCTGAAATATACCAATAGTTTGTACGTTGACTAGAACAAATGATGCTTGAAAGAAAACATTTTGATTTTAAATCAGTGATAAAAAATATAGCCTGTTTAGTCATAGCCAAGCAAGTTTTAAGGAAAGGTGCTTGGATAATTTTACACCTTAAATTTTTACTTATACCCAAAACCTCTTCTGGTTATTGATCATCCTTGAAATTAAAAGACAAAGGAAAAAAATAACTTTAATCAAATAACATTAGAAACTTTACTTATGTAAATATAACCATTTTTGTTCAGGAACCAAGCAAGGAATTTCCCGTTTTCTCTACAACCTCCCACAGACCTCTACTATTAAATCCTACAATTAAGTGTAGGATTTAATTAAGTATGCCTAAAGGACTTACGTCAGTAAGTAGGGTAGATTGGGAAAGAGGCAGAAAGATTAATGGGAGATGCATTCACAGTAAGCTTAGAGATTTTGAAAGGTTTCATTGGCCTCAATGAAAGTAATTTATTCAGAAATTTCATATGAATATTAGAGACATTATTCCTAAAGACACATAAGCTACATGACTTAAAGATCAATATGTGAACTTTATTTCCCACATAGAACTAGTCATCATATAAAAATAGAAATCTCTCCACCTAGTTGAGATTTTTGGAAAAAATAGCCTAAGCCTTTTAAATCTAAAATAAGCAGTGATTATGAACATACTTCTGAATATGGTCCATGTTATACATGGACAGGTTAGTACTTTTTTCATATCTAATAGAAAAGAAGGCTGAGAGCACAGATGTTCATTTATTCTAGTATTCTATGTTATGAAAGAGTTGACCAAAATTCTCAAACATTAACCTTCATCAAAGATAGCTCCTATTTTTCCTATAATTTTTTTTAAATTACCCATGAAAATAAATAATAAAAATTACCCATGATCTACATATTGGCTCAGCAACTGTATTTACTGGTTTTGAAACATTTTTGAAGGGAGAAAAGAAAGAAAACAATACTAATGCTAGTGTAACAAGTTGTTTTAGTGTGATATTATTTAAGGTTTAAGTGGACTGTGCTATACAATTACAACCCTAAATCGTACTATATAACTCTGTAATGTCCTACCTTAATCACAAGAAATAATCTCAAAATTATTTACTTAGAAAAATAAGAATCTATCTGTCCTAGAATTGCCAGTGTTTGGTGGCATGCACCCTGGGTGATCTCAAATAGCATCACTTATTGATTTTCATATATACTCTTGGATATGTGGACATTACCATTCATTGTAACTGAAGATGCCCTGATGGTAGTGGTTAGTGGTCACACAGGAGCAGGTTGCAGTCATTTCTGCAGTATCCATGTGTGAGGGTGGTTGTTTGATTTCCAGAACTGGTTTTTACAGAATTTTGTTTTCAGCTGTGCCTTAGACTTAGAGGTGGCTGAAAGCTTTTGCCTTAAGATGTCTGCTCTCTTTCTGATTGCTGTGCTACCTGCCCAGGACAGGTCTGTGACATGTTTTTGTAAGTCATTCTTACATGCCTCCTTGAAATATTGTTTGCTCCTACTCACTACATTTCAGTTCACTCTGAAAAAGTTGTTTGGGTTTTTTACTATCATCTGTTCACCAACCTAGTGAATTAAATTATGGAAAGTATTGTTTGAAACCTTTTTACTCATACCTGTAGTGAAGTTATTATACTGTTATGGTTCTATCCACATATATCTAGATCCAATAAGTTCTGTAAACAAATAAACTTAAAACCTGTTATCAATAAATTGAATGAGCATAAGGTCAAGTCAACAAGCATTTATTATCATATCTGATGTCCCAGAGATAGCTCCTATTTTTCCTACAATTTTAAAATTATTCATGCTCTTTATTTTGGCCTTAATTGTATTCAGTGGGTTTAAATAATAATTATAATGCTAATAAAATGAGGTTGCTTATAAGGGGCAAATTAGAATGTGTGTGTGAGGGAGAGAAATAGAGTAGTTTGCCAACCTTAAAAAGAACTATGTGAACATTAGGTATCATTTTTATCAGTGACCTGGATAAAGGCATAGATGTAGTGCTTATCACATTTGCAGATAGGACATAGCTGTGAAGCATTACACTGGATGACAGGTGTCCGAATCAAAAATACAGGCTGGCTGGATTGTTAGATGGACCAAATCTAATAAGATGAACTTTAATATGAATACACAACTCCCATACTTGTGAGGTTGATTTTTGGAAACTTAAGTACAATGTGGAAGAGGCATGGCTAGACAGCAGCTTGTTGTCCAGAAGAGCTGTGGGAGTAACATAGACACAAGTTGCACGTGAGTCAACAGTGTGAGTGCATTGAGGGGCATAGCACGCAGACCTGCTCAGCGCCGTCTGAGGACAGACATCGATAGGTAGGAAAACATCCCAGAGAGAGAAACCAGAACGATGTCTGAGGAACTGTTGTATGGGAGAGAAATGAGACCTGCTTTGCTTGGCCACCCAGAACCAGCAGCTGCATGTGAAGTCCTGGGTGGGTTCCCAGCCCTACTCCTGCAGACGTCTTCACTGTTTCCACAGCTTGGCATCCCATCCCCTACATCTGTGCCTTTGCACAAACTGTGTCACCTTCCTGGAATGTACGGCCTTCTCACCTTCACCTCTCATTTGGAATCTGCTACAGGAAGTCTTTGCCAATCCCCATGGCTGTGAGTGCTTCCTCTGTCCTCCTCAAGTTATGGTGCATGTATTTATCTGCCAACATCTCACAGCCACTGCACCCAGCATCGTGCCTGACACATAACAGGCACTAACTGCTTGTTGGATGGGATTGAAAGATATAGACAGGCAAATTTAGGTTTGATCTTACTATAATTTGTTCAATCATTTGGAGAGGTCATCTTAACAAGCAAGACCAGGTTGGGGGTAGAGGCGCGTAATGTTCAGCAAAGTATTGAGAGCGTTATTTCTCTTATAATACAGTAGAAACCTCTCCAAAGCTCTGTTGGCAGTGGAAACATTGTGATAGGTGCTATTTGTGAGTATGAGACCTTAGTAAGTTGGAAATGTATAACTATAGAATTCTGTGTATATATGAGAAGTACAGTATTACAGAACCGGGACTTTTGACAGGCGCATTTAAATGTGAGACTGCCTAATTGAAAATCTTTTTTTATTTTTTTGAAGTAAGGTAAAATTTAGGTTAAGGTAAATAAAATCTTACTGTCTTGGGCATCTCTCTTACTGTAGCTGAGTGGAAGCTTGAGGTGATGTTCATCTTCTCCAGACTTAGAGCTACTGATTTCCAGTGAAGTACCCTTTCTCTTCTCTTTTGGCATGTCTTTATTTAATCTCATGAAATACCTGTTGTTCTCCTTTCATCCCTTAGTGTGTTACTGTGTATGGTCATTGGTTTTTTTCATGCTTTCCAGACGTATGTCTAGTCCTTTTGTATGTCTGTGGTCATTGCAGTCCTTGAGTATGTCGCTACAATAAAAAAAAGGCATTTGCTACTGTGCATTTGTTATTCTCTTATTTTTTTCTCTTCTGTTTATATCACTTTCATTTCCCAAAATTGCCCTGTCCCTCTCCTCCCAAATAGTCATGCCTCATAGTAAAGGATTAAAAAGGAAAAAAGGTGGGATGAGGTGTGGGGGGATAGTTTTTCAGCACAACTGACCAACACATCAGTAAATCTGATATTGCATGCAGTATTCCACAACAGTAGTCCTAACCCCCACCTTCACAAGGAAGAAAGGGAAATGCATTGTCACACTTCTTCTTTGGGTCCCAGCTTGGTTGTTAGAATTTCACATTTATTTTTTATTGTTCTATTGTTGTAATCGTCTATATATTTTTTAACTTTGTACCAGTCATAAATCTTCCTCTGCTTCTCTTCAGTCTTCATAGTTATTTTTTCTTAATAGTACAGCAATATTTCGTTTCATTCAGATATCACAATTTATTTAGCCGTTCCTCAGTCAGTGAGCAACTACTTTATTTCAACTGGATCACTTTCTGAAATATAGCATTAATCTAAATACTTGAAATTCTGAATTTAGTTTTTTATCATATGGAAGCCTTATAAGAAAATACTTCTTTTGGATGAAGTGTTTCTTATAGTCTGCTCTCATGTCATTCAAAACTCTTTATAATATGGTCCTGATCAAGAAACAGTTATTTAGGGGCAGCTAGGTGGTGCAGTGGAAAGAGCACCAGCCCTGAAGTCGGGAGGACCTGGGTTCAAATCCGGTCTCAGACCAAACACTTGACACTTACTAGCTGTGTGACCCTGGGCAAGTCACTTAACCCCAACTGCCTAAAAATTTTTTTTTAATTTTTTAAAAAGTTATTTAAAAAAGAAAGTTATTTAATGTTCAAATCACTTAAATGCCCCCCTTTTTTTCTTTTTCTTTTTTTTTTTTGAGAGATCCACAGCATAGAGATCTTACTGGCATAGTGTTGGCTCACTTTGTTTTTGTTCATTTTCATTTGAGAGCCATGTGAGCAGCAACTACCATACAAAGAATTCTTCTGGCCTGGAGGATGTAGAATGCCATCCCGTCTTTTTTAATTTGGGGGAACAGGTCCCAAACATCCCCAAACCTTTCTTCCCCTTTTCATATTGCTAGGTTGCTGGTGGTTAGCCAGTGATTTAAAAAGGTTAATGAATCAGGTTCATTCACTATGGATTCTTGCCCACACCATTGGGATTCTTCCCTCCCACCTCCATTTAACTAGACTTTTGAAGTAAATGATGCTTTTGTTGTAGAGGTTGACTTAAATTTGGAGAGATTTTCCACTTTGAGTCAACTTGCTTTTTATTTTGAATGTCTTAAAATTAAGTAGTTTTATTATACTCTCTTGGTTTTGGTTTTAATAAAAGATCATTTGTTTGCACTATAGTTTAGCTGTGGAATTACACATATATACCTACATATATATGTGTGTGTATACACATACATATACTTCTCATCTTATGTTTTGAATCAATTGTTGATGAAGAAGAGATGTAATGGCTTTAGAATCATAACGATAGTATCATAACTATCATTGGCAGCTATCATTTATTAAACATCAACTCCTTACAATGAGAATTAAGCATATGTGGCATTAACTTCAGGTGAGAAGATTTGTTGCATTGATCTATAAAGAATTAATGTATGTGATGTTTGTTATATACATAAACACCTTGTTTTCCTCACTTTGGGAGCAACAGAATATGTATTAATTTGTATTTTCACTGGCATAATGATATTCCATTTATAGTTTCCCACAAGAGTACTTTTAAGTATAAAAAATAGTATTTCAAAACCCAAGAGTTTATAATAGTTACTTTAGAATAAAATAAATTTAAGTCTTTTATTTGAAATAAAAGACTTAAATTTTTTATTAAGAAAAGTTAAAGGTTCAAATAGCAAAAAAAGACTTGTGTTCTCAAAAAAGAATAACCAAAAAAAAAACAAACAAGCAAACAAAATAAAACCTGAGGATAGATCTTAGCTAGAGATTTTGGAAGTGCTGTACCTGGAGAACTTGAGTTAATAGACCAAAATTAGGTCACCACCTGCCCAATGCCAAAGACTTTGAAAAAAGTCAACAATGCAACTTTGTTTTCAATTCTTAAGCGTTTTTTTTTCTTTCAGTCTCTAAATAGCCTTGTATCATGTCTGTATATAAAATGATTACAGATTAAACGCATATACTATAAGCCATATGCTTTTAGTTAATATTTTAAAATGTAGTATCCAGTCACCCCCAAATAATTGTGAAAAGTGAAGGCTTTTAGAAAAAATGGAGGATTATCTCCAGCTGTAGTGTAGGGTGATCCTCAGGCAAAAATACCCTTTCTCCTTCCTCTCAGCCCTTTTCCTCTTTCTCTTCTCCCTCCAGATAAAGCAAACATATTTAGTTGTAGGGGGTTTTAATCTGCAGAACCTTGGATATGTCTCATTCTTTTCATATGCAACAGAAGCTCAGTTTAATAGTTTATCTATTGATATAGTTCCCAGTGTCTCTGATGGCAGTTCTAATAGACCTCTTGCACTTCTGTTTCACCTTGTGGCACTAATAATCTGGTTTTGACTTTTCTAGTCACCCTACAAAGCCTTTTGATTTCATCTTGGATTAAAGAGACATGAAGTGATACAGAGGGATCAAGTTTAGGTGTGAAGTGGTGGCCTGCAATAGTTTTGTTTTATATATACTTATCTTACCTCCTCTCTCCCTCCTCCACAGATTCAAGGGGGAAATAACAAATGAATTTACTTGGCAGGAAGAAATCGATTAGCAATTAGCTAATTAGCTTGGCTCCCAGTTTTCTTTTTCAACCAAAAAAAAGATAATCATTCATTTAAAGTCAGAAACTTTAAAAAATGAGGATCTCTTTGCAAATACTCTTTAATACAGTTAGTATTTTGAAATACCCTGCAGATTGGATTACAATAATATGCTTTTACTGAGCTACTTTTGAAGATCATTTAGAATTTCCAGTGGTGCTGGCAGCCTCAGCTCACTGGCTAGGAAAGCATTGGTCCTTTTTCTGTAACCCTCCTGGTCTCCTGTTGATCCTAACCTGTAAAACCCTGTATGGTTTCGTCCCTGGTTACCTTAGAGACTGCCTCTACTCTTTGAGCATCCTCAACAGGAGAAATCATCCTCAGTACTGCTGCTAATGGGCTGTCTTTCAGAATCCCAGAGGGGCAAAGTCTGGGTGTTTTTACATAGAGAACTTTCTCATTTTCTGGAACTCCCTGATGAAAACCAACAAAGCTCAGGGTTGAAATTTCTAGCAAGGCTTCAGGCCAGACACATTTTATTCTATATTACTTCAATTTTTACATCTCCATAGAGAATGAAGAAAACCCTTTTAGGCAAAGTAGACCTGTGACCTCAGGTTTATTGCCATTCTTTAGTAATAATTATGATTTGTAGAGACTTTGAATAACTAAGCAAAGTTGTGAGCTGTTTTCAAAAATGCAAAATGTGTACTACTCACTTAGGTAGAAACATAATCGTCCTTGCAGTAGCGTTTGACAAAGGAAGAATCTTGAAAAAGCTTAAGCAAATACAAGTCAGAGCTGGGGATGGACAGAGAACATCCGTGACTAGTAGGAGTAACATGACTGAAGTTCTTTGTAGGCTGCTGGTTCGTATCATGGAGCAGATTTTCCCCATCGACAGCGAAGTGATTAACATGCTTTTCTTTTTCTTCTGTAAACAGGAAACCTAAAAGAGAAGAGCGTCTGAGTGAAGAGGCTGCCAAGGTGATTGCTAGCCTTCCCGACTTAACCTTCATGCACGCCAAGGTGCTGATGTTCCCAGCTACGCTAACACCTTCAACAAGCTGCCACGAGAAGGCAGACTGATAAGCGATATGAATTGGACAGTTTATATTGATTTTTCCTTCCTTCCTTTCCCTTCCCACCACCAAAAGCATACTTGCTTTAATTAAAAAAAAAATAAAAACAAAAAACAAATTTCAAGTTCAGCTGATTTGTTGGTAAGCAACACTAGAAAGATATACATAGTAATGTATATTTATTTACATACTGAAGTCCTAAATTTATATTAGAAAAATGTAAATAATTGGGGGTGAACATTTTTGAAGATTTATTCTTTTTGTGTTGCTGGGGTGTATACATTTATGTCTTTGTGAAATACACTGGTAGTGTCCTTCTTACAAAACTTTTAAAATTTAAAAAAAAACAGAATTGAAAACTCAAATCTTCACTGTCTGTGAAATCCCCTTCAGGAATTTTTCAGATTGCATTGAATGTCCTCTTAATTTTGTCTAACACATTGAATTACTTTTGCTATTACAAGTGAGCTCCAAAGATCACTTTATTGTATTGTATTTTATTTTATTTTATTTTATTTTATTTTATTTTATTTTGTATGTGGTGGGTTTGGTTCAGATCTTAAAAAAAGAAAAGGCTGTTGCTGAAGATTTGGGACTAGTTTTTAATCTTTTCAATCTGGCATATTGCTGTACGGCCTTTTATAGGTACTTTCATCAGTCGCTATTCTGTTAATAGGGATGGATCATTGTCAGAACTTGATTGGGAGGGGCTGTATTAGAAAAAGATTGTGTCTGCTTTAATCATTTTGATTTGGAGAAGGACCAAAATCATATGAATGTCTTGCAGTGAAAGTTACCTGTTACTGATTTTTTTTGGTTCTATTATACCACTATTTTGTTTGAGGATTTTGCACAGTGTAAAATGACATAATCATAGATTGCTATGGTTTAGGCTGTATATACAGTTAAAAGACTATGGGTTGTAAATGTTTGGGGAAATTCCTATGGAAAAAAAGAGAGATGTAGAAGAACCTCTAACAAGGTTAATATGCATGCCCCAGGTCTTTTGAGATTTAAGTGTGTAAATTTCCTTTTAGCTTATACAGAAATAAAATAATTTAAAAGATATGCAGTCTCATGTCTCTCTGTAGGGAAAAAAAGGCTGCTATCAGTTCCATTTTGTGGTTGAGACCAAAATTAAGGAACTTTGGGAGGTACTTTGATAAAGTTCTGTTTAGTTTCTGTACCAAACAGCCTTTCAGAAACAGTGAGGCCTCTGCTGTCTGAAAACTAGAAAAGAATTTTTATTCCAGCCCATGAGAATTGGATCACAGCTGAATTGTGCTGACATGTGACCTTCTGACATAACACTAATAATCACAGGGGTTTCCTGCAATATGGTTTCATCTGAGTATATTGACAGTGCTACAGTGAAGTGCTAAGTGGCCCCTTGTTACTTCCCTTTTTTTTTCCCCAAACAAAACAAAGAGTATGAAATTAAGTGAGGTAACAAATCCCTCCAAAGTAATTTTTAAATCTTAGTAGAAGATTTTGGGGGCAGCTAGGTGGTGCAGTGGATAGAGCATTGGCCCTGGAGTCAGGAGGACCTGAGTTCAAATCCGGCCTCAGACGCATGATGCTCACTAGCTGTGTGACCCTGGGTAAGTCAATTAACCCCAATTGCCAAAAAAAAAAAAAAGAATTTTGATTTCAATAATTTGTTAATCAAAGCCTGTTCATATTGTGGCTATGTATTTGGGAGCCATTCTTAACTATTTTAAAAAATAATATTTTAAGTTTAATTTGTAAAAACACCACACTGAACTGTAGCAAAACTTACAAAATGGCACTTCTCTGGAAGAAGCAGCTGAGTAGTCTCCCATCTTACCATAAGTAAGACTCAGGCCCAAATCTTATGACAGATCATATATTCACATCTGATGATACATTAACATCAGAAAATTTGTATTCCTAATTATTTGGTTATGATGACCTGGGGCTCTATTGCCTACTTCTGTTCTTCCTACATTGGAACAAAGTTATAATTCATCTTAGTTCTTTTTGTGACATAACTACTCCGTTTTACCGACCTCCATGAAGAAGGACCACAGAGGGGGCAGCTAGGTGGCGCAGTGGATAGAGCAACAGCCTTGGAATTGGGAGGACCTGAGTTCAAATGTGGCCTCAGACCAAACACTTGACACTTACTAGCTGTGTGACCCTGGGACAAGTCACTTAACCCCAATTGCCTAAAAATAATTTTTTTTAAAAGACCCCAGAATAGACCTCCACACAATTTCTTTCTGTTGCTAAGTTAAAGTTGACAAGTAGCATCCTTTCAAATTTAGGATCTGTCCTACCCAGGCTGATGATGACCAGGCCTAACAAAATCCTGGACTTTTTGGAGAACATTATGAAAAACAGCATTCACTGGTGAAAAGCTTGTGGTAATAGTGAATCTCTTTCAGCTCCAAAGTTCTATGATTCTGTTCTGTGAACTGACATTTAGATAACACTTTACTTTGTTATGCTATATATTATCACCTTTCATCCTCAGAGGAACCTGGTGAAGTAAGTAGAATGAACATGTTAGCCCCATTTCATAAAGAGTCTGGCCTCCAAGAGGTGGCGACGTTGAGTAATATGTTATTTAATGAGATTCTGGGTCTTGTGGATTTGAATCCAGAGCCATAGAGTATAATAGAAAGTGTTGAACTTAAGCTTAGACCTCTAAGTAAGGCACAGCTTAGCCTTTTACTAACTGTATGACCATAGACCTCCTGTCCTCAGTTTCTTCGCCTGTAAAATAGGCATACTAATTTTGCTACCTAATAATGAACATTTATGTGGCACTTAGGTAAATATGCCATTTACAGCAAAGTACCCTACAGACATGATCATTTGAGTCTCACAACTACTGTATAATACAGGTACTACAGGTAGACTTTTCCCAGTTTTACAGATGAAGAACCTAGTTCATGGAGGTTTAAGTGACTTGTCCGTGGTTCAATAGCCAGTAAGTGAGCAAGGCAGAATTTGAACCCAAGACCTTTCTAATACCCAAGTCTACTGCCTCCCTTTCTACCTAACTCATAAGTTGTGCTGGAAAAGTTGCTTTCTAATCCTTAAAAAGTGCTATGTTTACATTTATTATGACTTCCATTGCTTCCCACAGTTAGAAATAGGTTAACTGTGCCTTCTTTGATGTGAAATTAGCACCACTGTGAGGGTTCTTATTATGCATACTTTATCTCAGGACTTGTTCTGGACAGGCTGGTAGTTCCCTTTCTGCCTGTGTCTGCTTTTTCTTCCCTTTTTCAATGAAGTACGTTAACGTCTAGTTGTCAGGTTAAAATCAGTGCTTCAGTTTGTACAACTAAAAATTTGTTGCCTCAAGCCGGACCAGTGGTATAATTGTATTAAAGAGCACTGTCTGTTGTCTAGGAAAGCGTGTTTGGAGTCTTGACAGAGTAGGCTCTTCGTCGCTCCTGGCACGTTAGTGAAGTTCGTGGGGAGGGCAGCGGAGGGAGAGGCTGCCAGCTGCAAGCTGTCTCCATAGCTCACCTCGAAACTGCCTGTAGTGGCAGCTGCCCATTTGTTTCCTAAGCACAGCCAGAGGACCAAGCACTGGGGGAAGGGAAAGAATCCATTGCGACTTGAAGGAGCTGATTGGTGCCCAGAGCTGTCAAAACTGGCAATAAGGACTGGCTTCAGTACCACAGAAATAGTAAATCAAGCACCCAGAGTCTCACCTCCTTCCACCACTGGTGCTCAACAGCTAGGATGTCTTGGCACAGTTCAGGTCAGAATGAGAAACTTGGGTTCAAACTACCCAGGTCATTGCATTGCATGCTTCTGCTCTATGTCTGATATGTAATGATAATGATAAAAGGTGACATTGACAGGTGGCTTAATGTTCATAACACATTTTACATTCATTCTTACTGGCTCTTGGCAGCCCTGTCAGATAAGTACTACAGGTTGTATCTCCATTTTACACATCCTTAAGTGACTTGTCCAAGTCTGGGTCTTACTCTTGAGTCCAAATCCAGTACTCTTTCAACCACAGTACACAGCCTTCCAAGTATGGAAACCTGTCATTCTCTTTCCCTTGACATTTCTACTGCATGAGTTCTATATACTGTTCTTCATAACTGCATAATTATTATATTTGATATAACAAATTGGTACCTTCAGTGTCCCACATTCATTCTTATGACCCTGCCTGGAATAATTCATTACACAACATGGTGAAAACAAATGTAAGTGGCAGGATCATTGTGATAAATGTGTAGGCTTCAGTGGTCCAAGTTAGAATTTTCATTCTCCTGGTATATTTTTTCATGAGCTGTTTTGTGGAATTTTCTGTAGAATTTCGTAGCCTAAAATAGCACCCACCTCCCAAAAAAAAAATATTCTAAGATTTTCAGAAACTTTAGGAGAGTATTATGCTAAGTGTTCTCTACTCACATAACTAGCTCAGTCCAGGCTTTCATCACCTCTTTGCTAGACCATTACAACAGCCCCCTCATTTCTCCCTTCTAGTCTCTTACCACTCCAGTCCATCCTCCACCCTGTTGCCAACTTAATTTCCTTCCAAACAAATTTAACCATGTAACACCCATACTCAGTCAACTACAGTAGCTTCCTGTTCCCTTTAGAATAAAACAAACTCATCCTTTTAGCTTTTAAAATCCTACACAACCTGGCCCCAACTTCTGTTTTCAGCTTCACTGGACATCACTCCCCCAGCCATCCCTCTGTTACTCACCCTTCATCTCCCATCTTCCCCTGCCTTTGTACTAGCCATCCCACATTCGTGGAGTGCACCTCCACCTGCTCTTCTTTTCCTCCTGAGATGCAGTTCAGGCGCCATCTTGGGCATGAAGTTTTTCCTAATCTCAAGTGCCAAAATACCTTTTATTTAACTACTGTGTGTGTGTATATATATACTTGTCCGTCCCATTAGAATGTAAGCAAGAAGGGTTCATTTCATTCTTTTTACTTATATCTCTAGCACTTAATACATACTGGTGTTGTTCAGTTGTTTTTCAGTCATGTCTGACTCTTAACCCTATTGTGGTTTTTCTTGGCAGAGATACTGGAGTGGTTGGCCATTTCCTTCTCCAGCTCATTTTACAAAATGAGGAAACTGAGGTAAACAGGGTGAAGTGACTTGCTCGGGGTCACACAGCTACTAAGTGTCTGAGGCCAGATTTGAACTCATTAAGGTGAGTCTTCCTGACTCCAGGCCTGATGCTTTATCCACTTAGATGCTCCATCTTAGGAGATGCTTAATAAATGTTGATTGAAGCAACACTTAGAGAAAGACCATTAGAAAAGTTGATGATAGGGTGGTATACACAGTGTAGTGGAACAGGTATTCATTGCATTTCAAGTAAGGTGCTGCCACCAACATGGGTTAACCCACTTCCACTTTCCTGGGCTTCCGCCATTTATGTATAAAATTGAGGGATGTAGGTAGGACAGTGGATTGAACCCTGGGCCTAAGAGTCAGGAAGACCTGAATTCAAATCTGCTTTCAGATGTTTACTAGCTGTGTGACTCTGGGCAAGTCACATAATCTCTACCTCAGTTTCCTCAACTATAAAATGGGTTAATAATTGTACTTACCTCCCAAGATTGTTGTGAAGATCAGATGAGATGATGTTTGTAAAGCACTTAGGGCACATAGTAAACACAAAAAGTTTCCTTTTCCATTGAGAGTTTAGACTGAATAGAAACACAGAATGTCAGCTTTGGAAGGAACCTTAGTCATTACCTAGTCCAGAGTTCTACCCAGTATAGAAACTTTTTCTACCTAGCATCTGAACATCAAGCCACTATTTCAATGCATGCCAAGTAGTACAGAACTCAGTACCCAATAAGGCAACCTATTTCATTTTTAAGCAGCTCTAATTTTTAGACAGTTCCTACATGGAAAAGCAGAGTCTGCATCCCTGACTTCTAACCACTGGTCCTCATCCTTTTCTGTATCCAAACAGGATAAATCTAATCTTATCCTTATTTGATGGTAGTACTGCCCTTTAACTATTTGAAGACAGAAATCCTCTCCCTTCCTGACTAAATATCACCACATATATATCCTCACATATATGTGGTTTCCA